GTGTGCAGCCATGAATCAGGCACTTAAAGCACTGCTGTTAGGCTCTCACTGCCAACATCTCCTATTGCAAATCTCTCTCCTCTTTCTCTACCAGCCAAACTCATGACGCGTATGATTGTGTTTATAACTAGATCTAAAATCAATACTCAAGTGGTCTATGCGTGTGCATTAAACATGCATCTGTGTGTGCGGGTCCATCTGTGTGTTCTCTCATTCCCGTGCTATCGGACTGACCTTGGCAGTGACCGTCTCGTATTCCTGGCAGCTCACGTCCTCATCCAGCTGGCCGTTTCTGCCTTTGATTGGTTTGATTTGATCCATTAAGTCCATTTGGGTCCCGAAGAGGAGATTGCGATGGAGGCTGCGAAGCAGGTTAAAGGAGGATTTCTTAGCCTGGATGCAAAACAAAACATCCATGAGCAAAATGAGTCTCGGGTCAATTTGAGCAAAGTGGATTGATTGGAATGGATGTTAAACTCCTCCCCTGGGCGGCAAATTGAAAAGTCTCTAATGTGGATGGAGCTGAAGTAAGATTGATACCGAAGGGGGTGTTTTACAGCTGGGTCGGCTTCCTCTTGCTGCTCGGTGTACAACTTGAAACTCAGATTCAGGTCAAACAGGTTGAACTCTCTCATTACGACCCGTTCAGGCAGATTAAAAAGCAGCCGACATCAGCAACTGCTGAGGGCGTCACGTCACTGAATCCATCGTCGACTGCCTCAATAATGTGCCTTAATTGGTTTGCCAACCTGGATTTCTTTAACAGGATGAATGCGTGCCGGGCATTTGACCGTCAGCCATAACTCTATCATTTATCTTTTACACTCGCCTCCTCTCTTCCTGTCCAGCATGAAAGAAAACGCTTTCAGTTGAGCTGGAAGATGCAGACAATCCCCGGTGTGTTTCTATATTAAAACGGAAATGTGTTTTTTGTGGTGATTACATTAGACATGGCAGAGTTAGTCGAAAGTAAAGAATCTTTGTCAAAACCACGACATTTTGAATTTGAAGTGACTGAAAAAAGGATGCAATGTTTACACACTGCGCGAGTTGCTACAATCTCATTCAAAGGCTCTCGTTGTGTAGTTGGATGTTTCTAACCTCACAAAAGTAACCCTTTTGGTGAGACTAGTAACAAACATGGTCATGTGATGGTTCACATCCTTACAGATATCTGCATATGAACAACATCGGCGGGATTCTGATTTCCATTTGTAGTATTTATATTTCCAACACTGTAAAGCTTTGAAAAAAGTCTGCATTTTTTACCAATTTACCAGGCCAAATTAAATAAAATGCCCAAGCTAGACATGAGAAACTGGCTGATGTCATCATTCTTTCTAAATCAATCTTTTTAAATTTAGTTTATATATATTCCTTTTTTTTTGTTTGTGTCATTGAGAGTGTAGGAATGTTTTATTTGCAATCATCTACATTCACAAAGGCGTGTTCAGAGTCTGTGGAGCTTGGCTGTGTGTGGTTGTGTGTGTGTGTGTGTGTGTGTGTGTGTGTGTGTGTGTGTGTGTGTGTGTGTGTGTGTGTGTGTGTGTGTTCAGCCTTGCTCAGTGCAGTGCACCAATAGAATACAGGATGCCTGTGATGTGTTTAAGCAGTCGCTGACCCCTGTTGTGGGCAAAGCCATCAGCTCCAGCACAAGGTCCACTCCTGTGGACACACAGGAAACACAGGACGGCAGCCGGTTAGATAAGTTTGCGTTTTTGTTATGCATTACATGCTGGTGCAAACAACAAAAGGTACCAGCTTGGAGGCACAGCAAAGCATGTTGACTATTAATCCACTGGAGAAAATGAAATACAGCAGCTTAAATGTTTTCCAATAAAAAGAGCAATGTGCTTGCTTGGAAATCAAATCTGCGGCGCCAGTGTACCAAACGTGAAGTATGAATATACTGAGGAGGTATTTTCCCCAGTGTCCAAAATGCTTTGCACTTCATGTTACCTCATTGATGACTCAATGTGTGGGGAGAATTCAAATGGCTATAATGGAAGCTGGTGCTTCAATCACATCACAGGAGTTTACTTACGTGGTTGTAGATTTCCATCACATACATTTTTATTTCTCTGACAACTGTAGAGAACTAAGTGGTACTTTCTAACTTAGTAGCAGTGAGTTCTCAATCCATGACTGACTTGTCAGTTTGTAGATGTTTATGATAAATAACAGTGAGAAACACATCTGCCAAAATACACATACAATCAACAATCCAATACACTATAACATCTATCTAGCATATTAATCTGCATGCTATATTCCATAATAGGCTTTGGAAATGAGTAAATGCACCGTGTTAAATGAAATGACATGGAAATGCACTCTGATAATATTCTAATCTGCTGCCGCCTTTATCTGATGAATCAATTATTGATGTACACCACCCTCTAAAGAAAAAGCATATTCTTAAATGTGGCCAGTAATTAAGCAGTTGTCCACAGCATCTCCACCTTTCAGGTGTGTGCATTGGGAGCTGTTTGAACAACATCGCTCTCCTTAACAAGGGCCCTGCGCTCCCAAACCCTCCTGCGCGTGAAGTGTTTTCCTAACTCTGACATGATGAATCTATTTCAGCAACACGAGGACCATCGTAAACTACTTGACGCTCGTCAACTGACACCTCAGCAAACCCCTGGATGACACATTAGGATGACGGAGTGATGAACGTGTTGTTGTTGTTGGTAGTTTGAAAGGCTTCTGTTGGGCTGTGAGTTGTGATCATGATTAGGAACTACCTTAATCTAGTCTTAGTCTTAGTCTCAAATGCGGCCCCGTATCACCTCAGCTACGCCGGCCTCTAATGGCATTACGGGTTAAAGAGATTACACGATGACGGCCAAGGCATCCCCGCCTTGAACCTTAAAACGCACCTAAGCCAATGATGGCCCGCGTAGACTTAAACGTAAGGGTTGTAAAGCACTGATTAGCTCCCAGATGTAAATAGCACATGGGGAACCACGTCGTTTCACTGGATCTGTCCTTCAAACTGCCACAGAAGGCACCCGACCACCGAGCACCGGCTAATTGGATGTATATTAAGTGTGAATGATCGAAGGAATCGACGATCACAGCTTCAGGAGGGTTTGAATGTGTGAAAACTGCCAACTGTTTATCCCTGTGAGGGTGGGATGCAGGCAGAGGCTTCATGGGAAACCCGTCAGGGAAGCGGGACGTCTGCACAGTCGTATTTTACACAACAGAGAATAGTCTGTCCTCCTCGCCCATGATCCCTTTGGTTGATTCACCGCTCCATTTGATCCTCAGCGTCACCTGCAGCTGCAGCGAGGCTGTGACTGATGTGATTAACTTATTTATGGGGAGGAGTTTGTGAGGAAATTGAGCTAAATCCCAGTGTAAACCTCTATATTTCATATGAAAATTGATATTCAGCCTATGCATCCTTCTCCATAAGCGGGACAGTGTGTCGCGTCATCGCCCCTCCTTCCGAACCTCCTCTCGCTGAATAAAATGCTCCTCACAGCTCAGCCCTTATTTTAATTAGCTCCCCATCTTTTTTTCCTCTCCCCCTCTGATAGTTCTCCCTTAATTCCTTTGTAGTTCTCCGTCTCACTCACTCACTCGCTCTCATTACTTTACAGTCATTTTGCAGATTAATTAATGAGCTGATATCTACTTCTCTGGCACAAGGGGCGAGCTTTCACTCTCTCTCTGTAGCATATGAGTCATCCGGCGCTCGATTTAGCGGCCGCTCCGTCTTCCTGCTCTGCTTCCTCTGCAGTAAAATAGGGAGAGAAAAGGAAGACAGGTATCGCATGACCTCCGATGTCGCCACATATCTCTGCTCAGTAATTATGTTGAGAAATGGAAGGAACGTTCCGTCGGCCGACCACACAATTATAGTAGAGAGAGGTGAATGGCTTCTGTGGGCAGGCAGCTGATTCAATGCGGATAAGCAGCAGTAATATCAACCTGCCGTAGAGTCACGTCTACGACATCATTCAGAGAGCAACGCGAAAGGTGGGAGTCACTGAAACCGTCCTCCTGCCCGTCCTTGTATTGCCCCGGCATCTAAAGATACGGGCTTTCATTCCCTATATGTGTGTAAATACCGTAAGTCCCGTGAAAAGAGAGAAATGAAGAAAAAAAGACCTGAATTGAAGGCGCTCTCTGCAAAATGAGTTATCACACGTCAGAAGGGTTCATTCAAGCACAACCTGAACTGCTTCCACCCTCACCGGCCTGTTCACGTATTAATGTTCATACTTCTGATCCCTTTAATCCTCACTCACCCATGTCCTTCAAACCCCAATGAAGGTTGACATTAATGAGCATTTTCCTCTCCCGGCCCCTCTCTAAACCATTCATAATTAACTACAAGCACTGCTGCTTCCTAATATTGACTGAATGTGCGCGTTTGTGTGTGTGTGTGTGTGTGTGTGTGGGCAATGCAGAACGGATGAGCAGTGAATTACTCTAATAAACATCTCCTGTGGTTCGATTAGGGACGGATAAGGGTCGGCGGTGAATCAACTCTCCGGGGCCTTTGGGTTCCTTCCGTCATGTCCGATCACTTGGATTCTGAACTTCAGCACATTGTGACTCGCTCCAGTTCCATGGATACGTCCGTCGGCCGTGTCCACACTGCACTCGTCTCTCAGTCCAGCTCTCTGTATTCAGAGGGCCATTCTGTTTTGTTGATGCAGTGGACGATACGGAGGATATTAGCTCAGTGTTCCCAGTGGTGAGAATGCAGTGTGCACAGTGGGCAGCGCACCGGACCTCCTTGCACTACGTACAGACTGTGAATTTATTTTAAAAGCATGTCAATAAGTGTAACTTGGTTGAGTTGAGTGAAGAAATGTCGGCTGTCTTGCTTTTTCTTTCCATTATGGTCATTGGATACATGCACAAGTTCCGCCCCGAAGCAACAAAGACGTGTGATGTCTCCATTTCCTTTAAAGTCTCCATTTCCGTCTCGCTTTTGTCTCCGTCCGTCTCAGGTGTCGCGTCCGGGTGGGGTGGTAACCATGGAGAGGCTGTTGCTGTGTCTGATGCTAGCGGTTGCCATGGCGGTGAGGGCACAAATCTGCCCAAAGCGCTGCGTGTGTCAGATCCTGTCACCCAACCTGGCGACCCTTTGCGCCAAGAAAGGTCTCCTGTTTGTACCGCCGAACATCGACCGGCACACCGTGGAGCTGCGACTGGCCGACAACTTCGTCACAAGGTAACGGTCCCCCGTCTCACACGCCCATTGAAGGGATCCTTCCCCTGCAACTGACTCCAACTCTGGCTTTCTTACGCGTCTCCACGGGGAGCGACGAGTCCAAAAAGGTCAAGGTTCAATAAGAGCACAACCCTTTTTGAATTTTTCACACTTATCTTCTTGTTGTTCCAGAATGCACATTTTTTTCCCCTCAAAGCAGGAAACAGACACACAGATGTATGAGGTTGTGATGCGAGAAACGCCCGGAGCGTCTCAGGCAAAGATTAATAAGTTGTTACATTTTCGGACAGCGCAGGGTGCATTTTTTAGACAATACGCACATTATCCGCCGGCACTGGAATGAAATAAAACTTAGTGGGCGTGAAGAGAAAACAGAGTCTGCAGAGTAAGTCGATGCAGCCGCTCGGGGCCGTCCCCTGATTGCACCGCAGTGTGGAGCAGGACTCGGGTTTCAGAGATTTTCACATTCACAAAACGTTATGTGTTTTTTAAGAAACAAAGTAAATCCACAAATTGAATCCTGCACCACCAGCAGAGGACACATGGTGATATCCCCCTGCTCTTATCAGAAGGTTGCTTATCTGTGTCCACAGTGTGAAGAGGAAAGATTTTGCAAACATGACACGGCTGGTGGACCTAACACTATCCAGAAACACCATCTCCTACATCACACCTCAGGCCTTTACCGATTTGGAAAACCTCAGAGCTCTACACCTCAACAGGTATGCATGAATACAGCAGGCTTTTTCATACGGCCATTGCCTGAAATCCCCTTAATAAATGCAGTTTTTCTCTCTCCCTCTCAGCAACCGGCTGACGAGGATAGGCAACGATACGTTCAGCGGGATGTCCAAGCTTCACCACCTGATTCTGAACAACAACCAGTTGGTGCTGATCCACCAGGGAGCGTTCAACGACCTGCTGGCGCTGGAAGAATTGGACCTGAGTTACAATAACCTGGACACTATTCCTTGGGAGGCCATCCAGGTCAGGATGTCCTTAAAGTGCCGTAGCTTTACCGACCAGTCCCCAGCACAGTCAAATGGCCATCAAATCTCTTTTGGGATATTTTGTTTAAAATTGAAATAAAGGAATCTTTAGGATTAAAAACTTATGTCTATGGTGTCCCTACAACTCAAACCACGCAATGACTTTGTTCTTTTCAGTTCATCTTTGCATTTTGAGTAAATACCGTAATTCAACTTCAACACGATCATCACTGCTGTACTGTTTACGTGACGGTAGCATTAATGAGGACAGCGCAGCCTGGGAGACATAAAACCGTTATTCGTATGGCCACATTCTCCGTGTCTTCCACTTACTGCTTTCAAAACAATAATGAAATCCTGTGTTTTCTCTGTTGTTCCTGCAGAGAATGATTAGCCTCCATACGCTGAGTTTAGATCACAACATGTTGGACTATATTCCAGAGGGAACATTTTCCCTGCTACAGAAACTCAACCGGCTGGACGTCACATCCAATAAACTCCAAAAGCTGCCACCGGACCCACTTTTTCAACGAGCACAGGTACGCTCAGAGGTCTCTTTTCCCACTCCGTCAAAAAACTGCTCTACAATTCTCAAACCTGAGCAGGCCCTCACACACTGTCCCGGTGTGGGTTTGTGTCCCGCTTTGTAGATTCCTGCCTCTTGTGTCCCTGGTTTAGCTTCACTTCCTGTCCTGTCTGCCGTGTCCCTGATTGTCTCCTCCTGTGTCCAATCACCTGCACCTTCCCAGTGTCTTTAAGCCTCGTGTGTCTCGTGTCCCTTGTCGCGTCGTTGAATGTCGTCACCCTGTTTGTGAGTTCTGGATCCCCGTCGACTTTTGATCAAAGTACTTTTGCCTGGAAATCTGCCATTGAGTTCTTCTGTATGAGTCACAACACATACATGTAGTTGTTTAGTAGTTGTCCTTCGTATGCAACACTGATAATCAATAACAAGATAATCATTTGTTCATGTTTTTAAAAAAAAATCTTTTTTTAACCTAGATATAACAATGTACAAACTGTCAAATGTCTTGAAGCATTTATTGAACAGACATTTGGTATAATGGAATAGCGCCTCATGCCCATGAAGTAAAAAATAAACATGACCTCTCCCGGATCCCGTAACCCTTTGGAGCTGTGATTCTCTTCCTGTATTTTATCACTTTCCTTTCTTTATCTGTTCATGGGGGGAGAAATAGGGCAAGCTACAAAACACTCAACGGGCATAAACTGGTTGCACTAGCGGATAAGTATGAATATGTGGATAAGATTGTACAGCGAGGTTTTAGGGCCACTGGGGCGGAGTGGAGAGCCTGGTCGTCCTTCAATCAGAGGGTTAGCTCTTTGATTACTGTCACCGCTGATCTGCATGTCGTGTCCTCGGGCCCTTAAACGTTGCCCCCCCGTTGCCGTGACAACAGTGTCTGGTGTGAATTTCATCGCTGATTTATGGTGACTCTGGTCATCAGTGTATGAATGGGTGCGAATGCATGAATCATAGCTTATAAGTTAAAGCACTCTGAGCCTTAAGAAGACTAGAAATGAAGACATTTACTCCAAAATAACAATTTGCTTAACTTTTATTGCGTTTCACACTACCAGGTCCTGGCCACGTCGGGTATCATGACCTCCACCTCGTTTGCCTTGTCCTTCGGGGGGAACCCTCTCCACTGTAACTGCGAGCTACTGTGGCTGCGGAGACTGAACAGGGAGGACGACCTGGAGACGTGCGCATCCCCCCTGCAGCTCTCTGGCCGATACTTCTGGTCCGTCCCAGAGGAGGAGTTTATCTGCGAACCGCCTCTCATCACCCGATACTCCCATGAGATGAGGGTGCTTGAAGGGCAGAGAGTTACGCTCAGGTACCAACGTCCGTTTTTACCTGAGCTGCAAACAAATATTCTGAATGTGCAAAAACACACACACACATACGTTGTGTTTTAGTTTATAGATGCATTATGTTTACCAGCGGCACGAGAACACAAACAAAATACCCAACTGTTCAATCGAGCACGAGACAAGGACATTCCACTCAAATCCTAAGGAGGTTGCAACTAAATCAAGAGCAGGTCTGAGAGATGATGATTACCTCATTTGCATATATATTGGTCACACGCTTCCAATCATGATAGATATTAAGTTTTCAAATTTGGAGTAAGGGGCAAAAAAAACGACCATGGAAATGAATGTGATGCTATTATTCACTTTCCTTTCATGTATCTGTATAGAAGGTGTACATGTAGATTATCAGAGGGTCAACCTTCCTCACATTGATCAACTTATGCATTGTCCACTTGCATGATGCATTCAACAAACCAACGTCTGTCATGTTTGAACAATGTGTGCCTGCAGGAAAGTCCCTTTTATCACTTACTTTTACATTTCATCACAAATAAGAAATGTCATTTTTGCTCGCTTACAATTTTGAAAACTAAGAACTTTTTTTGAAGCATCAATTTCAATTATGTGACTCACTTATACAAACAATCACTGTAGGATGAATACAAGGACATTTCTTCTACAGCTCCCCAGTATTTGTTTTACCTGATTAATGTTTGTTCTGGAGCGATCCGTGTCATAGTCGTCATAAGGCATTAAATCCATAATCGTTGAACTGTTTCCTTTCCTTTTATTGCATTGCTGCTTCATAAATGAACCACGTTTACATTTACAAAGGAGCTAGTAGTTCACACTCAGTCAGTTGGCAGAAACTTGACTGTGTGGTTGTGTATGATTCTATTATTCAGCTTTCTTAAATGTGATATGTGCGTTTTTTCTTAATCCTCTATGACAGATAACTCAACATTTGGGGGTTTTGTGACTTTTGGAGAGAAGAAACTACATTTTAAAAACTCGTCTTAAACATTTTTGAAAGTAAGCAGCCCCAAAATCTATTTTCTAATAGATTCAATGTCCAAAACAACAGAAAACTGTACTTCGTAATCATTGAAAAGATGAGGCTCATAATTGAAAAAAGAGTAATTTATTCACTGCAGAACTGCTTCCCCATTATTCACCAGCGTCTCGCCTCATTCCCTTGCACCTTAATCTTTGTCCCTGTAAGTACTTGTAAGAATTGATTTGCTCCCCATTATGTAAATACAACTGAGTAATTCACAGGCTTTAACATAAATTCCACCTCAAATGAATGCGCTGCGCGCGCACAGTGGACGGTTTTAGACCTCTTCCCCTTCCCGGTGAATCACCAGCCAGAAGGTCCAGCCAATCCAGAGCCGTTCACAACGCAAAGCTCGGCCGCCACCGTGCATTTGACCGCACGCTGTCTTATGACTGATATGCTCCTCTCCCTCCAGGTGTAAGGCGAGAGGTGACCCAGAACCAGCCATCCACTGGATCTCTCCTGAGGGCAAACTGGTGTCTAACTCCTCCAGAACGTTGGTCTACAGCAACGGCACGCTGGACATCCTCATCAGTACCGTCAAAGACACGGGCTCCTTCACTTGCATCTCCTCCAACCCCGCCGGCGAAGCCCACCAAACCATCGACCTGCTCATCATCAAACTCCCCCACATCTCCAACAACACCAACAACATCCAGGAGCCCGACCCGGGCTCGTCGGACATCTCCACTTCCACCCGAGGCGGAGTCAACGGGAGCAACGTGACGGGCGACGTGAAAGGCGGCGTGGATAAGAGGGTGGTGACGGCCGAGGCCACGTCCTCAACGGCGCTGATAAAGTTCAACTTCCAGAGGACGGTTCCAGGCATTCGGATGTTCCAGATCCAGTACAACGGGAGCCAAGATGACTCGCTGGTCTACAGGTAAGACTGACAGCCCGGCTCGAGTCGCACGGTCTGCAGAACGGAAGATCCGCCGTGATAATCATCCACCTCCACATTGGCCCTGAGTCACGCCTGTACGGTTTAGATTACAGTAGATTACATGCAATTTTAATGATCTGGTTTGGATCTCTAGGATTACGCAACAGGCTGCTGCCAGGGCGCTTCAATCCTTTGAATGGAAGACAGGCTTCAAGTGCAGCGTATGACACCAACCCGGATGGACGGGCAAACAGAAATGTGTCCGGGGCTAGTAAATCTTACAATGTGCGAATGTCCCAGTTGGAGTCAGATTTGCATTACTTCGTAAACACTGTAAATGTTCCGCCGGTCAGGAAGGGAAATAATGCTATCAGATAAGATGTGCAGACTATTTCTCACGCGTTATTGCATTAGCGCACATACAGATCATATCAGGGCACATTAGATGAACACAAAGAGGAAACAGGGATGGACAGCAAAGCGGGCAGACTAACTGCCGAGTGAAAAAGTCCACGATCCAGGCAGTGATTGTTATTTGAGCTAAATATTTACTTGAAAAGGGGGAGAAGGAATTAACATTTTACTTTGAAAATCAGCCAGTAATATCGCTGCCAATCCCTATAAATACTTCATCCGTACGCATCCTCGTGGAGAGCACTGAGGACCGTTCAGGGTCACGGTGATGACAGTACTCTGCTGTCAGGTTCTGCCATCAGCTTTGAATTTGTGATCCCTGATCTGTCTTTATCTCTCTGGGACTACACCAATATGCGATTAACACACGCAGACAACTCCTAGAAGAGTCGGCTGGTATTATCTGCCTTGAATATTACTCCCCAATCTGTGTACATCATTCATCAGCACTTAAACCGATTCAGAGAAAGCGTCATCAATGGGCTGATGGGATTCATATCTGTCGGTCTCACAAAGTTACAGCGTCATTGCTTTTCATATGAAGATAAAGAGTCTTTCTCTGTCTGTCCTCTCTTTCATGCTCAAAAGCACACGAAGCATTTATGAATTTGTGAGACTGCCGGCCTACCAAGAAGGCTGCGTGTATACTCACAGCCTTTAAAATGCTCATTTGGAGATGATTACACTGGAGAGCAGAGGAGCCGGGTCACGGCGGCGGGGGCGATTAGACGACCTTTCCCCCGCCCACCGCGGTCCCGCTGCACTCTGGGACATCGCTCAAAAGTACTTCTTTCTTTGCGTCTCGTCTCGTGGCATAACCCCCACATTAAGCACTGGAGTCATCTGTGTGTCTCCGTGCTATCTGGCTGCTCTCTCGTCTTTAGATAGCAAATTGATTTCCATTCAGCACCTCGGCCGGCACAAAGCAGCTACCCATTGATTGTTTTGTTTTTTTCATTACCCAAAACACGGAGAAGAAAGACAGGAGGGGTTGGAGAGGGATAAAGAGAATATAAAAGAGCGAGACCGGGGAAGGACAAGTGGAAAACAAAAGGAGCAGAGTTGATGAGAGAGAACGAAGATGGATCCAACCGTCACAGAAAGGCTCCTTTCAGGTTCAATGAAAGCTTGTTGATTTACTCATATTGACATTTGCTCCCCTCCACACCTGCTCAACATAACGCTGTCGGGTTTGTTTTGTATCCTCCCTACTTTGAGCGAGCGTTTAGTAACAGCAAGCTTTAACGGGCAAATCCCCTCCGGTCATTTCAACCTCCTCAGCACGCGATGTTTGCCCATATTAAATGTAGTAGTCGTAATAAACATTTCTGTATTGATTCAACTCTATTCAGGTAGAATCGTGATGAATGTGCGCGTTTGAGACGTCGGCCTATTGTTTGATTGGTTAATTTGATGTTGCAGTATACTCTTACTCTTCATCGTTCAGCCCCAATCCAGTCCTTCAAATTAAGTTAGAGATTTAGTTATTTCTGCTTCACGTTGGTTATCATTTTACGAGGAACCATTTGTCAACCCATAATTTGCTTGTTTTGTTGAGCAGTCTTAAAGGCCCTAAAACACTGAACAACAACCTTAATTAATTGCACCGTAGAGTGAAGAGCTTGAATGCATTGCCACCAGAATAAACATGTTTCTCACTAGTTGTCGAGTGCTCCTCGGGGGCCTGTTCTTCACGTTCATTTTCCCGCTTGAATGCAAACTGTAAATAACTGGATTCAGCTGTTAACCCCCTTCTATCACGGGATGGTCAAGGGAAGGCTTATGATGGCGTGACCTTTTACACATGTTACATCTCTGGCCGGTTTTGGCCTTTTAACGTTGCTGATTTTATTGAACAATCATCACGTCGATGGTGATAGTAAATCACCATAAAACGGCCACAAAGTAGAAAAGTCTCATTTTAGACCTATGAGCTAATAATCACCCTTAATTAAGGATTAAAAGATATTTATGTCTTCAGCAGAGTAATAAAGATACTAAACAACATAGTATTTAACATAAATGGAACATTAAAGTAATAGGACATTTCATATCAGTGATAAGGTACCAACATTCGCCTTGTATCATGACTTTAATTGGACCTTTAAGCGCTTCTTTCAAAGCAGTAGCATTTCATTCCTTATCACGATAGAAGTATAAAATACAACCCAGTTATGTCTTTTTCGCTCAACCCATTCAAACATTGGGAACCACTGGTCTAAATGGTATTCTAAACCAGGAGGTATCTAACGATAATGATGCTGATCATAATGACACAGAGTAATATGAAGGGCAATTAAGTGGCTGAATACAAGGCATTGAACACTGGAGTGTGTATTGTGTTTATCTGTGTCTAATGGCCTTTACAGTATCTGGATCAGATAGAAGAGATTGGGAACATAATTCAAGCCACACTAAGACACGTTGCCCATCTTCTGGCTTCATGTTCTTCGTCTGTCACAGTCCTCGTCCTCTCCGCCTGTTCCGTTCATTCAGCGGCTGTTTTCTGCTCCAGCAGACTCATCCAGCTACAGGGGCTGGTTGCCATTTGCCAGAAAAAAAATACACATGAAGCAAATTGTGGGGAAAGCTCCTTTATTAGGCTACACAACAGGGGATGTGGGATGAATGCAGGCCTTTAAGAACACCCCCCCCCCCCCCCTCGTCTCTCAAGCTACGGTGTTGTTTATCCTTGTCTTTGTTCCCTGCAGCTCACGAATAACACCTTCCTGCCGCAATGTTTCAATTCACATTTTATTACCGTACACAATATTGTGTGCCTAACGTAAGATTGTGATTGTAAGTAGTCTGAGAGGTTTTAAACATGGGGGGGGGGCACTATAACAGCAATAAGGATGACTCTAAAGGGAAGGGGGAGTGGTAAAAGGAAGCAATGAGGGTAGTAGGGAAACAAACGGATCATAAAGGACATTATAATACAGCTAGATGAAATCGAGCAATCTGATTGGTTGAGAGTGAATCAGGAAACACTCAAAATGGGCCGAGCAGATGGAGGTCTACACCTGGACACAGATGGAGGTGAAAGGAATCCCGCTCTTCTCGGATGGACGTGTTCTCTGACACGAGCTCAGCGGTCCTGAGATCCTCGTAGAGCCACAACATTTTCCCTCAAAGAAGCAAAGCTTGGCTGGTTAATAGTATTCCCCCCCCAGCTAAGAGATGCCACTGATTTTAACCATCATCGACTGTGCCTTTTAAAAAAAGCTTGTTTTATTGGAAACTATAATGTTATGACAGTAATTAAACTGCTCCGTGTTATATTGTGTCTCATGTTCCAACCATTTTAAACAGTGGATTCATGGCTTGGCCACTAGCCAGGTGGCTACGATTTACCTTTTTCGAATGCTCTTCTCCCAGTCCAACTCTTAGCAGGATTTAATGGGAAAAAATGGACATGGGGGGGGGACAGCAAAGCACACCTGGCCAGGGCTCAACATCCCTGTTCCACCTGTCGCTACGAGCGCTGTGGCTGCTTGTTAACCATCAGCACAGGAATCAGTGGCCTTATGCATGTAAACCAGAGATAAGGAGCGATCTCCTGAAACGTCTCTGTCTGCCGTAGAGACTCAGGCCTATTAGCATGGCACAGTGCCATCTGCTGTGTAAGACACTATAGCGTCCAGGTCAACAGTAATGGGACGGGATTTGAGCTTCCATTAATCCTCTTCTCTTTAAAGCTAAATACCAGTTCCTCTTAAACGGTTTGATTTTACTAGAAGAACGCCTTGGAGTGAGGTGGGGTTCGTTAAATTGTTGACATGATTAGGATCACTATCTAAAAATAGTGCAAGACAGAAAGGAGTATTTAGGATTAGAGTCAAATGTTCTTTAGTCCGGAGCTGCAGGATTGTGTCAGACAGAATTCTGTAGTTTAGTTAAGTTGATGCTTGGCACATTTATGCCAAATCCGAAACACTCGTTTATAACAATGTTAACTGATAGTAACAACATAATCATTATGTACAGAATCAAACTGTGGCCGTGGTAAAGCAGCGTCGTCCTGCAGTCAGACGCTCCGTGGTTCTGTCCCCGGTTCAGGATTCCATGTCAATGTGTCCTTGGGCGGGACACTTAACCCCTAATGTATCTCTCAGGCTTTACCAGTAATATTACAGTAATATTTAACAAAGGACTACCATACATAGCACATATAAGAAGGGTCATATATTTCTATAAGAACCCAAATAAGCATTTGGAAGCAAATATTCAGTAACCAATTTTAACCTCCACTGACTATAAACTCATAACTCACACAACCTTCTCAGAGTTTGTATCATTTTCCATAATTTAGTCTATTACATTACATATTAGCGTGAGAGCATGTGGATTGTACATGTTTATAAAGTGCCATGTAAAGAAATGTTTTTTAAAACCCATTACTCCTTCTGCATGTTTTCTTTTGCTCGGCTTATGTGACAAAGTTCTTCATGTTCCAGGCTATTTAATTTAGACGTGTTTGCATCGCAGTATCATGGGAGGCTTTAGCCAGAAGCTCTGAATAACATTTTCTGAAATAATTGGACAACCTATTTTTATTCTATCCGTGACCCACATTTTGGTCGCAT